TATGCAAGGGTGGGTCGACTCCCACGCGGAGCCGCTATCATCAGGATACTTGGTATGGCTCGCGGAGGCGCGTGCTGGTCTACTCTCCTCGAGCAGGTTCGGGTGCTGCTCACGCAGTCCGGTGTTTCCGCCCCAGCCCCTTGACCTGTTGCGTCACTTGACAGGGTGCGGCATGCGGCTCTTCGTACAGCACTTGGCAGCCTCTTCGGTTTGGTGGGGGATTCCCGAACATTTTTGGGAAAAGTTCCACCAGCTGGCTGCCTGGGGCGTTCCGCCGACCGCTTCAGCACTTGACCTTGCCTGTTAGCTCACCTCAAGGCTAAGGTTGCTGGCCCCCCTTCAGTAGGGGCCTGCCCCCCCCACCCTCCCTGAAGGGGGCGGGACTGTCCCAAAAATCGCTGAGGAAGCTAGCGAAGGACGTGTTGAGAGGGTGGGAGGTGCCTCCTATACCAAAGCGGTTGAGTACCTTGAGCACTGCCAGGCACCTTTCTCGGTTGACAAAGCTATAGAAGCTGGCAGGTTAGGAGCAGAGTTGGTGATAGCAGCTGGCACAGTACAGGAGGCGGTCGAAGCTCTGAATTCAGCCCGGACAGCTAGGTTAGGAGACCACCTGGAAGGTGCGAAACGAGGCCTGTTTAAAGGCGTGTCCGCCCTGCATAGGGAGTACCTCCGACTAAGTGCGGAGGAAGGGTGCCGAGCCGTAGGGAGGCTCCTCTCCGGAGGGAGGAAGCTAAGAACCACGGGTCGGTGTATGGCTACGAAGAGGAGCCCCTCCAGAAAGCTTGGAAGGATGCTGCTTACGGCGCAGCCTTGCTGGTTGACCCTGCTGAAGGAGAGGTCGAACAACTCTTCCGGGTCGCAGGCGTGGCCGAGAGCCCGCTTGGCCGAGTGCCCAAGCAAAACCCGGATAGGACTAGCTCGTCGGAGGGCAGACCCATCAACGACATGAGGAAGCAGAACGAGGCAGGCTCGAAATACAACCACGCCCCTGCTCCTCAGCCCAGGCACCACGCTGTGGCAAGGCAGTCTCTGTGGTGGAGGGCAAGGCACCCTGGCATCCCCCAACGGTGCGCCAAACGTGACGTGCCGCGTGCTTTCAAGTGGCACTTTCTTCGCCCTCAGGACGTCCCAGAATTCGCCGTCCGTCTGGCAGGTTTGATCATACTCAGCCTTGCGATGCCTTTCGGATGGGTGGGCTCCCCGGGGGAATTTGTGGCCTGGAGCGCTGCCGCGAAGGCGCATCATGGGTCGTTCCGCCCTGAGGACCCCCGCTTCAACGACGTACCGTATGAGTCTAAGTGGTTGATGGACGACGGAGTGGTTGCGGAACCTCTGGTCGGCACTCGAGTCTTTGACTCGTTGGCGGTGCTGGACGAGACCATGAAGCTGGTCTGGGGCCCTGAAGGGGTAAATGTGGAAAAGATGGCCGAGGAAGGGGAGCCCTCAGCGACCCAACTGCTTTGGGGACTCCACATGGACTTTGAGCAACACCAGGTGCGGCTTCCTGAGCCTAAAAGAATGAAAGCTAAGTACCTGTTGGGGGAACCTGCTTTACAAAGAGGGTGCAGGGAGGTCCCACTTGGCCTGCTTCAGGAGGTCATCGGATGCGCACAATACTGGACTGTCGCCTGCCCGGCCCTTACCCCGCATCTCCCTTCTTTGTACTGCCTCCTGAAAGGAAACCTCCAAGGCCAAGGTCGAAAGGAAACCAAAGGGAAGGTTCAAACTCTCCTCAGAGTCGAGGCCAGTAACCCTCAGGAGGAATCCCTCAGGTGGGAAAACTTTTGGGATGCTCTGGATTTCATTCGTCTCCAACTGGAGGCCCCGTTGCAGTCTAGCTTCACCTCCGTGTTTGAAAAGCTACTGCCTATACGCGAGAGGCTCGCTCTCCCAGGTGCTACCGCCCGAACGCGGATCACTGGAGGTGACGCCACGCTGGATAGGATCGGGGCTGTTGATTGGGGGGCCAAGATATTTCATGCATCCACGGTTGACAGGTTCCAGGACGCGTTGCGAGCAGTTGCTTCAGCGGAAGATGAGGCCGATATTATTTCCATTATGGAACTGCTTGCTTTTGTTGTTCTCGCTTGCCATCGGAAGCAAAACTGGGATGGGGAGATCGTCCTGTATGTCACGGATAACTCCAATGTTCGAAGTTGGCTCTACAAGCGTCGCCCGGGTAATAGGGTTGCTAGTCTGCTCATCAGGCTGGTTCAGCGTTTGGAGTGTGAGCACAACTTCACTGTCCATCCCATTTACATCCGCACCTACCGAAACCAACTTGCGGATTGGCTGAGTCGGGAAGACTTGGGGGTAGTTCGGGAACAGCTTAAGGCTGACGGTTGGGAAGAGACCCCAGGGGAAATTCGCTGGGAGGAGTTCCTCCAGGACGCGAAGCGTTCCGCTCTGGCTCTGCCTCTTGGTTTCGATCCAAGTGCACAGAGAGCCCGGCAGCTCACCCACGTTCCTGACTCCCCCAAACCCTCTTTGAAGCATGTTTGCCTTCGCGAGGCTTGGGAAGTTTGGCATGTGGACGACTTCCCAGAGCTCACTAGCTGCGCAATTGCTCTCCGGCTTTTTCGCGCCTGGGAAAAGGGTAGTCATGGCAACGCCTGGTTCACCTTCTCCCAAGACCCTCAGGGTAAGGAGAGAACTCGCTTCTGGGCTCGGCAAGCTCGTTGTTGATTGCCCAAGGCAGATGGACACCTCTCAGCTGGAGTCAGGCATACGTGACATTCTCCCACACCTTAGATTGATCTCGTATGTCAGCTCTCATCTTGGCGCCTTTAGCGCCCGAAGAAGAAAGCTCCTTCTAGGTTGGTCTGACCAGGTGTCACCGCCCCCTGAAGGGATTGAGCAGCACCGTGTTCATCCCCCTCCCGCAATGCAACTCATTCCCTTAGACCCGGAGGCCCAGGCCGCTTCTGTGCACCTGGGAGGGGTGGTGACCCAGGAACCGAGCATTATCACGACTGGCGATCCTTGGCTCCCTCACCCTTACGGGCACGTCAAGGGCCCAGGCTTTCCGCCCAAATGTCTGGTGCACCACCCTTCCGGCCCTGCCTGCGCCTTCCTGGGCCCGACTCAGGATTTGAAAGGTCCTGGAGCCACCCTGATCCCGAGCAAGCCAGGAGGAGTGCGCCCTCTGAGCCCTAGTGAAATCGCTCGCGCGCAAGGAGTCACCTCCCAGGAGTGGCAGACCCTTCTCAAATCGGAAGGATTTGAGAAGGCCCTGCGCCGCATTGTTCGGGAACCAGGTTGGCAAGTTGCAGCCGCGGTGTTAGGATTGTGGCAACCACCATCCCTGAAGGTTGGCAATTGCCTAGATCCTGAAGAGGAAGAGGCCAAGGCCCAGCTTGAAATCTGGTTGACCGCCTGGAGCCGTCGCCCGGACTGCCCCCGTGACTTGGTTCCCTTCGAGTCGTCACCGCCTGGAGTTGAGCCGACGGCATGGAACCAGTCGGAGGGCACACGAGTGGGGGGGCCTCTCAGAAAGAAGGCCGATCCGGCCCAGCGCTCCCTGGTTACCCCAGTTTTGCTTGGGGACGAAAGGGAGAAGTTCTTCGGGGTCCACGGGCTGCCTCAGGGTGGCGGTGTGTCTTTTTTGGACCAAGTGGGTCAAGAAGCTGTACTGAGTAAACTCTGATTCAACCAGGCGCTCGTACAACACAGGCTGGAAGCAGTGGGCGTCGTTCATGTCTGGTACTGGTGTCTCCCCTTTCTTGCAGGGTGAATCACGGGTGGAAAAGCAACAAGATGAGGACTGGCTTATCCGCTTTACGGTTTTCTTGCACCAAGTGATGGGACGCACCGCCCAGGGCATTAAACAACGGCTTTCCGGGATCCGGTACGCACACATAGCAGCCGGCTATCAGGACCCCCTCGCAGGCCGAGTTCGACTTTGGGCCGCTCTGACTGGAATGAATCGCTGGGATGGAGCGCCGGTCCGCAAAGTACCTGTAACTCCCGGTATGCTCACTTGGTTGAAAAGGTATCTTGACGGGTCGGACCGCCCCTTGGCAGAACGGAAAGCCCTTTGGACGTCAATTTGTTTAGGCTGGTTCTTCATGCTACGAGCCTCGGAGTACCTCCCAGGTTCCGATCTTTGCAACGTGCCCACTCGAGTTCTACGTGGAAGCGACATTGACTTCTTTTGCAAAGGTCGGCGCTGTACCGTGTTCGAGGCTGACTCTCTCGCAGTTCAGCTGAGGGATTCTAAGGGCGACCAGTTCGGAAGAGGGCAGGTTAGACTTCAGCACGCCACTGGCGAGGAAATCTGTCCTGTGAGGGCTCTGCAGGAGCATGCTAAACATAACCCCTTTTGGGTTAATGACGCTAGCCTTCCGGTCTGCGCTTGGCAGGGTATCGGGATCTCGCGTGAAAGCCTCTCTGATCTGTTGAGGTTAGCAGCTGTGGCGTTGGGATACCCAGCGCACCTCGTTGCTTCGCACAGCCTGCGAAAAGGAGGCGCCACCGCCATGCTAGCCGTAACCAATGACGTTGAGGTTGTGAAGAGGTTTGGAGGTTGGAAGTCCGACGCTATCCATGCCTACCTGTATACTGATCTTGCCGCTGCACCTAGTCGTTCCAAAGACATGCTGGCGTCCCGCCCTGTGCTCCAACCCCAGCAGTATTCGCACCCAAGCGGACGTGCAGCTTTCGAAACAAGAGCCGGAGGCCCCTCTAGCGAAGGTAGCGATACCGATAGCCAGGCTGAAGGCTCCACTGAGGGTTTTGACGTCAACTGGGAAGCTAGCCAAGCGCACCTTGAGCACCTTGAAAGGACCACTGGGCTCACTTTTATTCAGAGGGTTAGGCTCCGCAGGCAACTTGAAGCTGGTGGGATTGTTGACCCTCCCCCTTTTTTGTGTCGTTTTGGAGGGACCCCCGAATGGCTCCTTCCACCTGAAACCAGCCCTAGTAGGACTTCTTTGAGTGCGCAGACTGCTGCTTCGTCTAGTGATCAGTTGCCGCTGCATCCTCAGAGACCTGGCTCACGCATGTCTCCGGAGTTGCTTTCTTTGCTCCAGCAAGCGTTCCGCTCTCCCCGGCGCACCGCCTCCCCGTCCACACGGATCATGGCTGAAGCAGCTCCGCCGACCGGAATGGGGAACCGCCAACTTCGTGAGTGGATACAGGAATGGGGCAGTGCGTGGGATTTCCTCGGCCTCGCCCCCGGCAGCGCCATGAGTGAGGTTCTTCGCGCATACAAGCGCACGGCGGTCCGCCTCCACCCGGACAAAAGTCCACCTGATGAGGTCGAAATGGCCACTGTGCGCATGCAGGCCCTGGGGAATGCCAAGGAGATCCTCCTCAATCCAAGCCTACGGATTCTGCATGACAATATCCTGGGCGTTGGCGTGACTGGTGGAACAGCCCCTCCTCCTTCGAGTGCCGCGCCGGATGGTGGTTCTGGCGGCACCGCCCCGCACCATGGTTGGTGGAATCAGGCGCCTCCGCCAAAGGCCCCACCGACGAGCTCGAGTTCCTCGGCACCACCTCCTTCGAGCAAGAGCGCTGGGAAGGCGCCACCGCCAACTGGACGTGGACCTGGCCCGAGCACCTCGGCCCGCGGCGCGGCAAAGGGCAAGAGACACCGAGTCCTCTGGCCCTGAGATCGACAGATACCCGCGCATTCGATGCGGGCGTGTCTTGAGGTTCTGCCGCCAATGTGGTCACCATCAGTACTGGGGAGATGCCTGGTGCATGAGGTGTGGCTGGGTGAGGCATCACCGAAGGTGGAGGCATGAACGCCGACCCAGCGAACACAAAGGACCACCGTTCGGGTATCGCCGACAGCAGAAGGGTTCGTCAAAGGGCCCCTATGGTGACCACCGCCCAGGAGAACCCTCTGGAGGCAAAGGGCCCACTGGTGATGGAGAACCTCGGAGCAACCCATGGGAGCGAGCAAAGAAGGCCCCGCCTCCTCCGCCTCCGAGCTCGGGTGATTCTGGCCCAAGTTCAGCACCCCCTCCTGGAGGAGATCGCAGTTTCTGGTGGCTGTATCTTTCCCGTGTCGGAAAATTACTGCTCGAGATGCTGTATTCCCAGGCCAGCGTGCAAGGCACCGCCAAAGGCGCGCCCTAGCAGTCCATCCTCGGCGCCCCCACCCACGAAGGCTGCTCCAGCCCCGAAGCCATCCCAAGCTCCCAGGCCGGAAGCCACTCCGCAAAAGGCGCCTCCAAAGGAGAGAATCCCGACCAAGGCGCCACCGCCCTCCACCTTCAACAATACAATGAGGTGGATTTGCGGAGGCTGTGGAGAACCTAATGGTCTCCACCGATATGGGTGCAATGGATGTGGCCGCTCCCAGCACGCCATGGGCAACGTCCAGGAGAGAGCCACGCACTGGATTTGCCCTGACTGTCAAGGAGAAGTATCAGTCAAGGCCAACCAATGTGTGGGGTGCGGATGCTGGCGCCCAAGGTACGGGGAGCTCCTCAACAACGGACCCGCCCCCGATGACTTGCTGGTGCACCCGAGGGCGTCTACAGCCCCAGTGGTGCTTAACCGCCGGGACACTGTGGATGGGAACCCCGGTCTTGCCGTGGCCCAGGCCCACAGCGGGAAACCAGCGGCAACAGCCAGGGGAGCTTTTCAAGATGGTGCGGGCACGGGAGGTCCCCCACCGGAGACGAGCAGATGGAGGGAGAGCCTCAGGCGACACCGCCCTCTGCCGCTGCAACCTCACCTCAGCCACCACCACCTATTCCGACACCGGAGCCCAAGTCGGTCTACTTTGCCAAGAAGGGTCTTGGAAAGGGCAAGGGCATGGGCGCTCCGCCGGAGGGACCTTTGCCCCACACCCCGGCTGCCCCGAAGAGCTACGCCGCGAATGTCGGCGCTCCGCCCCCTACCTCTGGAAGCCTGCAGCCTGTCTGCGACCCTCCGCATGGACCTGCACCGAAGAAGGCCAGAGGTCCCACCGAGGAAAGTCGCCCTATGGCGATTGTGGCTCCAAATGGAGAGGGCTTTGTGGTTCACGGTGAGAGACCTGGACGAAACGACGCCTAGGCTGGTCCTTCCTTGGACCATCTTCCAGCACGTCGTCATGTCCCGCAGGGCCCTTTGTGGGTTGCAATCATGGGGCCGGGTGGGAGTCATCTTCATCCGACGCGTTGCTCAAGACATTCTTCATTGGGCACGCAGAAGAGGCCACATGACCCGGATTCAGATGGCCAACAATGGCAACCCATGCTTCATGGACTTGCAGGAGGCACATCCCGAACCTCAAGGTGATCTACCGCCCCTCAGTCCCGCCACGGGAGACCATCGGCCCCTCTTTACGTTCCAGGATTTTTTGCGGAACCCCGGCCTTGGGCAGCACTACCGGAACAACGAAGGACCGCCACGACCAGGTCGCACCGCGCTTCCCTGCATCTATTCGGCTCCAACTCGCCAGCTTCCTTTGGCAGAGTCATATGCGGAAGCAGACCGAGCCCAGAATGTGATGGGGCGCTGGGCTACGCAGATCCTGGGTGATGAGCCGGCAGTTCCGCCAGATGAGGGCGCACCGCCTAAAGGCGAAGGTAAGGGTGATTCCGCCCCAAGCTCGACGTCGAGCGGCAAAGGCACAGGGAACACCTTTAAAAAGGTCACTCACTGGTACTGCAAGAGGTGCTCTTATGGTGTGCCCATCACTCGCACCTTCTGCACCATGTGTAGCCGACCCAAGGATGAGTGTGTGGTGTCCGACGAGGAAGAGGAAGAGGACGATGTGGCCCTCAACGAGGAGGAGCTCGCGGAGGTTGCCCGTCTTGAGCGAGAATGTGCAGAGCTGGAGCAAAGGATGAGAGGCCTCAACGCCGGCCAACAGAGGGCGCTCTTGGAGAATCTCGCAAACAGCTCGAGTGCGGTGATGGGAGGTCTGTTGGCGGACACCATCAGGCGCACCGCCCAGCTGCGAGGCCAGAAAGGCAAAGGGGGTTCCAGCAATGTCAAGGTGAGAGCCTCCAATGAGACCGCTCGGAACGACCCCAAGTACGTAAAAGACTTGGAGGAAGGGGTCTCCATGGCAGTAGCCTTCCAACGTCATCGCTCTCGACTACGTGCGGTGCAACATCAAGTGGCCCAAGGCAATGTGGCGCTACAGCCCCGAATGACCCCCGCACAAACTGTGAGGACGATGCCGCCCATGATGAGCCTGGGCCGCGCTCACCGCCTGTATCTCCTCAACAGGTTGGAAAGGTTGGAAAGGCAAGGAGTCACATGGACCCAAGAAGAGGTGGGGAATTGCTACACTATGGAGCAATTCCTGGACTACTTGGAGGCAAGAGTCGGTGCGGAGGCGGAAAGAGCCGAACCTACAACGGCCTCCAAATCCGCAGGCGCTCCGCCACCTACAGGCGTACCGCCTCCCTCGGGTCCTACAGCGAGCACCTCGACGGGAACCTCTTCTGCACCATCGGGTACAACCGCGGACGGGCGGCCAGAACCTCCCTCGCATCGTTCCGATCCTGCCCAAGATCAAGCAGCAGGGCGGCCAGTGGATCCAGACCAGGGGCACGATCAGCCGGAAGCTCACCCCTCAGCCCCTTCTGCGACGTCTGAGGGAGGTGAGGCTGCAGGTGATACCGCCCCAGCCGAGAGCGATTTGCCTGCTGACGATTCAGCACGGCGTTCCGCTGTGGATGGTTTCCACCTTTGAAGCTCTGTGGAGCCTTCGGGAGTAAGCCCTGTAAACAGGCGTTCCGCCGGAATGGGAGCTGAAAGCTCCGATGTACAGTGGCGGCCTGGCGTTCCGCCCTATTTCTTTTGCAAGTTGTTTGTGAGTTGAGGCGAAGCCTCGGACAGCGGATAATGTGGATGGGTCCGGAAACAGTCGGGTTTCGTGCTGCCCCCCCCTTTTTCCCTGTCTTCTAAGGAACCGAACTCCAGCATACACTCGCTGAAAAAATTAGATAAGGCGGCAGAGGCTTTTCCAATGCCCGAAGGGAGCGAACCGCCCCGGCAAAAGGCCGGTTCGACTTTAAACGAACAACACCTTCGGCTAACCGCTCTGTTGCCCGTTGCAGCGCAAAAGAGAGTGTATGCATAGGACGGTGCCTGCTCTTTTGGTACAGCAGAGTGTGAGCATGCAGAACTTGCTCGTTAGCGATAACATAGAGTTCTGCAAGTGAATGAGCCGATGTGTCTCAAGACTTTTCGGCTCAGTTGAAGTTTGGCCCTCCCGCCCTCCCTGGTCTTCGGGCCTTGGCGGCAGAGGCTTTTCCAATGCCCGAAGGGAGTGAACCGCCCCGGCAAAAGGCCGGTTCGACTTTAAACGAACAACACCTTCGGCTAACCGCTCTGTTGCCCGTTGCAGCGCAAAAGAGAGTGTATGCATAGGACGGTGCCTGCTCTTTTGGTACAGCAGAGTGTGAGCATGCAGAACTCGGATAACAGCTTTAGCTCGCTGGTGTGCACGATGCTTCAATATAGATGTGCAGACCATATGCTAGCCCAAACCCCCCCTACCCAACCCCCCCCTTTAGGAGCTTTCCGATTTCAGTGATGGCGCAACCGAACTTTGCGCAAGAGCCACCCCTCACGGACGGTGAGGTCAGACTTTTGCGACTTTTGTTGCAGAGGGCGGCTCGGACCCAGTTCGACTTTGGGTTTGGACAGCCGCAGGGCAGTGAACTTTGCCCCGCGCCGGCCTCAGTGGAGAGGACGCCACTTTTGAGCCAGAGTGACTTTGTTAACACTGGGGTGCCACTGCCACCACCAAATCATCACCCTACGGACTTTATCTGGGTGGTGCTTCTGGTGCTTTTGGCACTTTGGGGCTTTTCTACTTTGGCCATCTTTGTGGCCCCTGAGATCGTGAACTTTGGCGGCTTCCTTCGGAGGCTCTTGCGCCAACTTTTGAGGAGACTTTTCGGTCGTGGGCGTGCCCCATAGCCGTAATGGCGCCCAAGACTTTGAGGCGAGAGGACGCTGATGCATGGGCGGAGGCTTTACGCATTGGCGGCAGGGGCACTTTGCCTATCAGCCCTGGCTGGGGGCCAGGCTCCAACTTTTCCACTTTTGTTGCCAACTTCGATCCTTCTACTTTTGTGGAGATGCTAGCTTTGGGTCGACAGGTTGAGCAACTTTGGGTTCCAGGTTCGCAGTGCCCGCTGTTGCAGCCACCACTTCCACTGGAAAGGGTGATGGCGACACTTTACCCAGGCCGCGAGCATCCTGGACTTTATACCCAGGTGGAGATTATTTATATAATGCAGAGCACTTTTACATGGCTCTTTACGGCAATGCTCCCGGGCGTCCCGCCGGTACTTTCGGCGGACCACCTTTGCAACTTTATGTTGTACGTGACTTTGCCGTTGGCTATGTTCCAGCAGAAGATGAGGACTTTGCTGCAAGGAGGCGCGCTGCACTTTTCTGGTGCAGATGCCTTTTGGGGTGACAATCGTCACCTCAACTTTTCCTTCAGCCCCAGGTCTTCTCTACTCTTGTTTTCTGTTGGACTTTCCATAACGCAGATGGCTGGTAAGACTTTTCAGGTCGGCCAGTTGGCCACGTTTGGGTTTCGGCCAACCCAGGCACTTTGGTTGGGGTTGGTTTCCTCGTACGCCGTCTGGAATAGGCGTTATCTCGACTATTTTCTGGCACTTCCAGCGGGAGCGGCCATTACTTTGGCATTTGGATATGACCCAAGTGGCTACTTTGCAGACGGGACTTTTGATCCTGCACCCACAATGGGATGATGGCTACTTTGTCTGCAATGGTTTGAACAAAACTTTCAACATGGAGAATGGCTGGCACTGGAGACTTTTCCACATTCCGGTGTTGAAAAGCATGTGGGATATCACTTCCAATGCGAAGGACTGGGACATTGTCCCACGAGTACTTTGGCAGAGGATGGCCAGAGCAAGGCTGTGAGCCCACGTTTGCAGCACACTTTTCGGTGTCTTTTGACACTTGGTGCTACCTTTGCCGATCGCTGCACTTTGCTGTGCCGATCCCATGCTGTACTTTGATGTACCATGGAACAGCTACGCCACGGCACCACGACTTTGTCGCTGCGCTTTGATGGGCCGACACACGTGCACAACGAGCACAACGAACTTTGTTTCAGAAGCAACTTTTGATGCTGTAGATAGGAGGCATCGTTGCACTTTGCATTTCTCCAGCGCTGGAAGCGGCAACAACTTTTGCGCATCCGCTCGCTTACACATGTACATGCATTGTACGTCTTATATACTGTACGAGAATAAAGTACTTTACTTTAGTCTCGAGGAGGCGTGTGAAAATAACACCTCCCTTTTTTCCCCTGACTTTGCCAACCGTCGTTGGCTCAAGACCACTTTGCCCTCACAGAGAAAAGGCGCTGTTGAACTTCAGGGCTAATTTGGTCTCAGTCGTGTGAGTTTGTGCACGGAATTACTTTAGGGTAGTTTGGTGCGCATCCTGGACTAGTGTACTTTCGCATTATGCGTGTACGTATGTATGTATGTATGCATGTATGTATGTATGCATGTATGTATGTATGCATGTATGTATGTATGTATGTAGGTAAGGATACACACATGGCTTTACACATGCACGTACATACCATCCGTCCATCGATCCATCCATCCATCCATCCATCCGTCCGTCCGTCCGTCCGTCCGTCCGTACACATATATACAACTGTACATACACATATGTGCGTTTCTATTGTACGTCTGTATGCGAGATAATGTAATGCAGTATAACAGAATGCAATGTATGCCTGTCTGTTCATCTGTCTATCGGTCTATCGGTCAATCTGTCTAGCTGTATATCTGTTTTTCTGTCCATCCGTCTCTCTGTCTGTCGGTCGGTCTGTCTTTCGGTCTTTCCGTATGTGTGTATGTATTGTATAAACTGACAATTGTGCGTACATCGCAGGCTTACATATGCCGTAGACACATGAATGAGGCGTGCGGTGCCAAAATTCTAATCATTGAGGCCTCGAGATCCGAGCTCTAAGGCTAAACCCTGTAAGAAACAAATACCCCGGAACCCTTCCCTTACTCGGCCTGCAACTTAAACTCTGAACCCACCCGGGCTTCAGGGCCCAACTCTGCACCCTACATATACAGTATACGGCCTCAACCTTTGAAAACAAGGTCTTGGACATATGTAACATAAGTACATAGGGACTATCTGGTGATTGAAAAACCTCTACGACAGGGCTTCATAGATCCCATCGCAAGATCTGCATGCCAAGTCGCTAGATCGAGGGTGTCCCGAATCACAGGAACAAAGCACCTGGCGGTTCGGGCTTTCGAACTACGAGTGGGCTGGGAGCTTCGGAACATATTTGGGGTTTAGGGATCTGGGGTCTCGGGATTGAGGGTGGCTGGGGCTTGAGGGTTTTAGAGTGTCTTGGGGCTTTCAAGAGTGCAGGGTTTTAGGGTCCGGGGTTTCGGGTTTAGGGGCCGTTAGAGCTGTGCAGATTTGCAGGGCCATATGTCTTGGAATAAGCAATCAGTGCCAGCGCGTCACTACTCTCATGTCGCTGGAGCACCCCGGCGCCCAGCATTGGATGCTCAAGCATAGGATCCTAAACCGTATTGTAAGCATTGTGTATACTCATGTGTGCATGTACATCTGTGTACACATACACATACGAATATACAGAGAAACTGGGGGAGAGAGAGTGACCAAGAAAGAGCGAGAGAGAGAGAGAGATAGGGACCTACAGGCACGAGCATGTGCTGACGTGTCATGAGCTCCAGGCCTTGCATTCCCTCTGCGAGAACTTGTACAGAAATCAGAAGCCCAAGATCGAGATGTGAAAGTCGGCCCATGGGACCCGCCCAAGACTACCCTCAACCCCTAACCATGCAAACCCTGTAGCCTCGACGACCCTCAAAAACCGGTAAAAGGAGACCTCCGTGGAGCGCTTGAGGACTCGGGCTCCGAGGTCGGAAGTCTTTTTCGCAAGGGTTTTTGCAGAGGCAGGGAGATTGAGATCCCCAAAGGGACCACGATGGGTTAGGCTTTAGGGCTCATGGTCCTGCAGATCACAATACATCGTAAGAAATTAACGATGGATATACGGGGCCTCAGAAGTGCATGAAACATGAAGATTAAATTTTAAAGAATCAATTCTGTGAGGAAATGTGATGTTGTGAGAATTTTTGTCTGCCGTTGGAATGACTGTGTACACACATCTCCTAGCACGTTTCCAGGGCATCGCCAAAATCAAGAACGCGAAAGCCAAGAAACATTCGCAGGGCCACATTCTGCTTTGCTTGCGAAGCCCCCATAAGCCCGACCGTGTTCATCAAAGTATGCTGCAATCCTGAAGAAATCCAAAAACCCTGCAGAGCACAAGTTGAAAACCCAAACCCGGCCCCTTCAAAGACGAGAGAAGCCTGACAGTTCTCGTGGGTTGGAGGATCCAGAAACCCTTACAGTAGCAGTTAGAATAGGCAAAACCAAACTTGATCTGCCAGATCCCTTGAATATAGGGGCCGTAGTGATGTTAATGGGATTTGGTGTCCATTACAGTAGTCATAATGGGGACTGGAAGCTACGAGTTTTCAGACCCCACTTTCACAACCCCAAACCCCAAAACCCTAAACCCTTGTACTAAACCCCCCAAACCCCCGAACCTGTGCCGGTCCGAGCGGCGGCAGCAGACCAGCGCAGCGACCAGAGTTCAGAGAGCACGACTGAGCCAAGGCCTTAGGC